ATGATATTCTGTTGCCCATTACATCAAGGATTGATAACCTTCCATTGAACGAATTTCACAAGGATGTAATTACTAGTACTGACTAATAACATATTCTACTTAAAGCAAAGAAAAACAAATGCAGCGAGCATTTTCTACTTAAAGCAATTAGAATGAACATAGACAACAAAATGTGCAATACTAAAATTGTAATTTGATGGGGATTTCTTTTCCTCAAAATATGGACCTTTAGTTACGGTTGAAGAACATCACCCACAATAATGAATGGCAGATCATCATTTCCCTTAAAAGCAATTAGCCTGAACATAGAAATGATATAATATAAAATGTGAAAAACTAAAATTGTACTAAATTCAAAATCACCAAAGAATTTCAAACATGGTTATGGAAGAACAAATTTCAACATAAAGAATGGTAGTGAAAGGATACATTAACCTACAATACTAATATGATTAATATGAAAATGCAGTGAGCTACGAATTTAAGAAAACATGAATATGCCTAGCACAAACCAAAAATCAACAGAACTGTGTTCATATGCACACCCATAATTCAAAACACACTAATCACAAAACGCGCACACACCCGCCTAATAAAAACAGACTCCTAATAAAACCCAGTATATTAAAATTAAAAAAAAAAAAAAAAAAAAAAAAAAACCTAAGAACCTTGGAGACAAACCCTACCGTGGTTCTCAAACAATGGAGCACTGCCGCCCACCGCTGACGCCATACAACGACCTCCGGCGGCCTCCACAAAACTCTGGCGAACGGCGAGTGCCCACCGGAAACCAAGCCTACCCGCCACACTAAACCCATCGTGAGATCATGCGAAACCACCCCATCGTCGATCATGCAAACCCCAAGACCCGAACAGCAACAAAAAAGCAGAAAAATACCTTCAACAACACTTGAAGCAGCACTCCTTCAACGCTTAGACAGCCCACAGGAGGAAGTGTTGCAGTATACTAGGCAACGACTTCGTATCTCTGCGAATTCACCGTGAAAACCGATAGAAGATGCGACCTTTGCGTATACAATAACACATAATGAATAAGGAAAAGAAAACCTAACATATTTAGACACGGAGAAACAATTAATGAAATTATAAAATTACCTTGTTACCCCTAATTATATTGAATAACAGCCATTTACAAAACAAATATCCTAGAAATCTAAACCCTTCAAATATAGAAATGGATGCTCATGATCGAACCTCACCGGATCTCATTTTAATTAGGTACCTCACCTGATCCAAAATCTATATATATATATATATATATATATATATATATATATATATATATATATATATATATATATAAGTACGACATTTGTTAACATACATACTAAAAAAATAAAATATTAAATTATAGATTGATATTAAATTTTATATTATATATATAAAAATATGATATGAGCTTTATTCATTTATATATATAATTTTTAATTTCATAATTATGTTGATTTGATTTGTAATTATTAATATACTAGTTTTTTTTACGCGCATTGCGCGATTGAGATAATGCCCAATGTTTTTTTTTAAATAAGTACTATAAAATATATCAATGCAAGATTATATTGGAATTGTTCATGCATAGATAATTGAATGTTGAATTTGCGTATTTAAATAGGCAATTCTAAGTTTACAAATGCAAGATAATATAGTCAAGATTGATTATAATTGTCAATAAAATAATTATATGGGTATGATTGAAACCAAATACGGGAAATAAGGGAGAGCAAATAAAAATTAGGGCATAAATATTAAATATATACTAATATTGAAGAGCTAACTGTTGATTGCCAAACAAGGATATTGCGAGATAGTTTCCCACTTCAATTTGTTGTGTGATTTGAATACTCTTTTTGTCAATAAATCCCCCAAGTAGTTAATATGATTGGCTTAATTATATATTTTTTATTTTTTTATAACAATTATTATTATTATTATTATTATTATTATTATTATTATTATTATTATTATTATTATTATTAAATCTATCTATACCCTTATGTCATTTTACATGTTAATCTAAACGGCTAATTTTGTCAAACATCTTTTTACCAACCGTTGATATAATTCGTTGGTCAAATCCACCAACGCTAACCGCTAACTGCTTATTATCAAACAAGAACATTGCGATGTAGTTCTCACTTCAATTTGTTGTGTGATTTGAATACTCTCTTTGTCAACAAATCCCTCAAATAGTTGATATGATGACTTGCTTTATTAATTATGTTTTTTAAATTTTTAATTTTGTCATGGTATTAATAAAATACTTGGTAAATAAATATATAGCATTATTTTGTATTATCACTTTGATATTTAATTTAAAAATAGGGCATAAAAAAGATAATAGACAATGTAGTGAATATAATTAATTGATTAATTTGAATGTAAAGAATTTTTACATTGGAGAAAAATAAAGACAATATAACTAATGAAATCATTTCTCTTATTTAATTCATTGATAATGAATAATTTTTTTTTGAATAAAGACATTGTACACACATAATTCTAAATTAAAGAAATGCATATGCATTGTTTTTTGTTGTAGCTACTAAATTATTAATTAATTAATTTAATAAGAGTAAAATAGAGTACTAATTATGTTAACTTTAATTTGATTGGGATGGGGTTCGAACCTGAGACCTTTCTTATTAAAATCAATGAGTAAGTTAACGGTGAATTGACAGAAACTAACGGAAAAAATAATATTTAACGGAAAAGTTAACGGAAAATCATATTCATTAAGGATAAATTAGGAAATCTCAAGGAAAAATTAAAATTGGATCAATCTGAGCCATTCATTTGATTTAAAAATTTGACCGCCATTTTTTCTACCCATTATAGGCCTAACTCTCTTGGGCTCTTATTAGTGTATATATATATATATATATATATATATATATATATATATATATATATATATATATATATATATAATATACTAGTTTGTTTACGAGCATTGTGCGATGGGGATAATGCCCAATATTTTTTTAAAAAAAATAAGTACTTTAAAGTATATCAAGACAAGATTATATTGGAATTGTTTATGCATAAATAATTGAATGTTGAATTTACGTATTTAAATAGATAATTCTAAGTTTACAAATGCAAGATAATATAGTCAAGATTGATTATAATTGTAAATAAAATAATTGTATAGGTATGGTCGAAACCAAATATGGGACATAAGGGAGACCAAATAAAAATTAGGATATGCAATATTAAATACTCCGTATATACTAATATTGAAGAGCTGACTGCTGATTGCCAAACAAGGACATTGCGAGGTAGTTTTTCATTTCAATTTGTTGTGTGATTTGAATACTCTTTTTGTCAATAAATCCCCCAAGCAGTTAATATGATTGTCTTAATTATATATTTTATTTTTTTTATTTTTTAAAACAATTATTATTATTATTATTATTATTATTATTATTATTATTATTATTATTATTATTATTATTATTATTAAATATATGTATACCCTTAAGTCATTTTACATGTTAATCTAAACAACTAATTTTTTCAAATATCTTTTTACCAACCGTTGATATAATTCGCTGGTCAAATCCGCTAATATAATCTGCTAACTGCTGATTGTCAAACAATAACATTGCGAGGTAGTTCTCACTTCAATTTGTTGTGTGATTTGAATACTCTCTTTGTCAACAAATCCCTCAAGTACTTAATATTATTGGCTTTATTAATTTTATATATATATATATATATATATATATATATATATATATATATATATATATTTTTTTAATTTTTCCATGTTATTAATAAAATACTTGGTAAATAAATATATAGCATTATTTTGTATTATAAATTTGATTTGATATTTAATTAAAAAATAGTGCACAAAAAAAATAATAGACAATGTAGTGAATATAATCAATTGATGAATTTGAATGTAAAAAATTTTTACATTGGAGAAAAATAAAGACAATATAACTAATACAATTATTTCTCTTAATTAATTTATTGATAATGAATAAATTTTTTTTATAATAAAGACATTGTAGGGACAGTGTAGCGAATATAATCAATTGATGAATTTTAATGTAAATTAAAGAATTTTTATATTGGAGAAAAATAAAGACAATATAACTAATGAAATTATTTCTCTTATTTAATTTATTGATAATGAATAATTGTTTTGAATAAAGACATTGTAGACACATAATTCTAAATTAAAGAAATGCATATGTATTATTTTTTGTTGTAGCTACTAAATTATTATTTAATTTAATAAGATTAAAATAGAGTACTAATTATGCCACCTTTGATTGGGATATGGTTCGAACCTAAGACCTTTCTTATTGAAATCAATGAATAAGTTAACGGTGAACTAACAAAATTAACGGAAAAGATAATATTTAACGGAAAAGTTAACGAATAATCATATTCATTAAGGATAAATTAAGAAAATCTCAAGGAAAAATTAAAATCTGATCCATCTGAGTCATTAATTTGATTAAAAAATTTGACCGCCATTTTTTCTACCCATTATAGGCCTAACTCTCTTGGGCTCTTATTAGTATAGTAGATAGTAGATAGAAATGTTTGTAATTATTATTTAATATAACATCATATTATTTAATATAACATTATGGGGGTGTTTGGTAAATGGCTGATAGCTGATAGGTGATTGGTTTAGTTGGTATTTGATAGCTGATTGTGTTAACTGATTTGACCAGTTTATTGTATTAGCTGGTTATAAAAAAAATGTTTGGTAAGTTAGGTGTTTAGTATTGGCTGATTGCATGTAAAATTACCTTTATGGGTATGAATATATTAACATTAATATTTATTATTAAATGGATTTATTACTATTACTATTTATTATTACTATTGAATATTTATTATTATTAAATAATAAACCCACAACCCATATTATTATTATTATTATTATTATTATTATTATTATTATTATTATTAAAATGAAAACCTACCCACCCCTATTCTTTCTTAACTTAAATGCCAAACCTACAGTCGGCAGTTCCACAGCCCAAATCAAATCAAATCCCTAAACCCTCTGCCCCAAATCAAATGTGAACAAATAGCTAGAAGCAGAAATAGCGAGAAGCGAATCAGATGCAAGAAGCAGTGGGAAAGAAGAATGGCGAGAATCAGATGCAAGAAGTAATGGGGAAGAAGAAGAGCGAGAATCAATGGCAGCAAGGATGAAGATGATCGATTTGGGTTCGTTTACTTTCAATGTTTTTTTTTTTTTTTTTTTTTTTTTTTTTTTTGTTTTACTTTTAATTTGTGAATTAAAAAATATAGTATGTGTATTTGTTGTGTGTTCTGAATTTTGATAATTTCACATCTATTCTGAATAATGATTCTGTTTTTTGAATCAAAAAATTTTCATATCTATTCTGAATATGTAGTCTATTACTCAGACCGTTCTTAATTTGGGTTTACTGTGATATGAGACCATGTCTTTGTGTACTTCTCTGCTTACTACTCCTTATACAACACGATTTCTCAACATTTTTTGCCCTGTCTCTAAACATTTTAGTTTTTCTTGTACGTTGTTTCGTGATTCGGTGCAAAAATGGTTCATGATTTATCCATTCTTTTTATTTAGTTAAGTTTCACAGATGTATACTTTAATTCTGTTTCGCAATTAAATAATATCTGTTTGCATTTGTGTTTTATAATTTAACTAACATCTCTTTCTAGTTTTGTCACATGATGAAATTAAATTCTGATTCCTCAGTTCTCTATAGGGATGATTCCTCCAGTTTCAAAGCAGTAGTGTTTATCATATGCTGATTTTTGTCATGATGAACTTTGCATCGCATGGGTAAAACTGTTAGTTGCTCTAAAAAATAGTGCTCAGCTGAAGTGCCTTAAATGAGTGACTTACAAACTCATGTCCAGTTTGATACCTAGTTAAAAATAAAACAATTTAATTTTTTTTTATTAGATTCACTATCAGAAAGTATCATACAGAGAATGAACTATTGCACCATTGCAGGAAATAACCACAGCAAGAAAAAACTATTGCAGGAAATAACCATTGCAAGAAATAACCATAGAGAGAGTTCTTACACACCCCAAGCACAAGATTCCATCTTTACTCTTGCAAATATGTAAGTTATTAATACTTTTCAGGTTTTTTTATTGCTTAACTTTGGTGGTATGAACTTAGTATTTTGTTTTCTCCTATAGTTCTATAGAGCTTAATTATGGTTTTGAATGAACTATTGCAGGAAATAGCCATACAGGGAATTTCTACCCACCACAACAGAAAGAAAGATTGTTCTTTCTCTGGTAGATCTTGATTTGTTCAGATTTCTCTGATGATTCAGCTTTCTTTTTTTAAATAGGTAAGTTCCAGTTTATACTTCTCAATTATTTATTTTTTGAGTGCTACCATTATGTGATGAATATTTATGTGTATTATTAGTTAAAGTGCCAATTGATTAGAACATTGAGTACATAATGATTTACTAAACTCTCTTGAATGTCTGTGAGAACAATCATTTCCTTTCACTAAACTAATACATTAGGTATTAATTGATATAGGTAACTTGAAAATGTTCTTCTTGAGAAAATCAAAGTATTAAAATGCATATTTTGTCTCTCAAAACAAAAATGCATACTTTGTAAATCTATACAAAGTTGCTCCCTTCCTTATATTCTTCATGAATCTTACTGGTTCATGTGAATATGACTCCTAGCATGTTTCCTGCAAACTTAAATTTAAAACAATCAAGCTATAGACAATGTAAACCAATCCTTAGGAGTTCATATTAAGAGTGCCACAGGGTACAATTGTAAATTATCCAAACCACAATTAAAAACAAAAATCTCATTGCAAAAACCACAACATAGAAACATCCATCACCACCATACTACGAAAGGGACTATCCCCAAACCAACATATAATTTACTATAATACATATTTTATAAATTAGTATCATGCACACAATTTAATACACAATGGCACATTAGCATACATGTAAACATCAGGTTTTGAACCAATGCTTTATCAATTAATAAATCTATGCACACGGCATACAAACTATGGCATACGACTACATTAGGCCATGCACACAACATACAAACTAGCACACGACTACACCTGTCAACCCTATACACACGACTACATACAGACTATGGCACACGACTACATTAGGCCATGCACACGACATACAGACTAATGGCACACGACTACACATGTCCGCACAATCCTCTATAATATACTTGTCCTCATTTGAATACATCTATATAATATAATTGATAAACTTTTGCCTATTCACTTTAGGTTGTGTCAAAATCATTCACATGACTTGCTTGATGCACAAACTGCACTGAATTGCCAAAGAGGTCAGTTTCTGAGAAATTATGACTGGATCAGCAAAAACGGACAGTCTTGAGAAACCCTGTTCAACTGAAGGCTGGACCGTTGTTTTGCCTCGCCGTGCAAGGCCAAAGAAGAGCTCCTGCAAAACTATTAAGGCCGAAGAACAAAAGCAAGAGCAACCTTGGACACCACAGGATCTCAAAACATACCCAGAAAGAGAAGAAAAGCTGATGCAAAAGATGCAAACCTGCATTCAGAAACTAGAGAAGTCCGAGTTTTGGCTGACTTTCCTGAACCAATTACAAACAAGTGAAACCTCAGATAGGATTGTGAATGCTTTGGGCTCTGAAACAAATATGTGCATGGTAATATATGGTATCGGTAGCATTGAATCATATGAACCGCCTAGATTGCAGCTCAGCCTTGCAATCCTGATGAAACGAGAGTTTAGCTGGATCGGGGAGATGGAGGTGTTCGATCCAATCATTTCCCTGACAGAATCAAAAGTTCTGACAGCACTCGGGTGCTCCGTTCTATCAATCAATGAGCATGGCCGGCGCCAAGCCCTGAAACCTACACTATTCTTCATGCCACACTGTGAGGCAGAGCTGTATGACAATCTGTTGCAGGTAAACTGGAGAGTGGATCTGCTGAATCATATCGTTCTATTTGGTAACAGTTTCGAGGCATACGAACATCACATGTCAGTATGCAAAGATCTTACATCTGCCAAATCCAGAAAGCATATCCTAGCGGCGAGGAAGTTCTCCAAAGAGGTAGGAATCCACTGTTCAGATGATTGTTTTCGAGCTTTCAATGGCTCCAGTTGGCATTTCTTTAGTCTTGATTCAGAAGCAGCATTAACGAATTTAAGTCATGATTAATGATCTTAACTAGCATTCTTATGCTGAACAAGCCTTGACTCAGTTTTAAAGGAAGAATTGCACTTTTTGTCTGAGTTATATAGGGTAGTAGTAGATTTAGTTCATGTGTTATATGTCATATATTGTATTTGATTCTGTTTGGCATACATAACTTACAAGTTAGCTTAAAGCCGAACTTATTTTGAAACTCTATTTAGGATAGGGTTTTAAAATAAACTAGAATTTTCACCCGTGCGTTGCATGGAATGAATTTGTTATATAATTATTTAAATTATAACATCAAATATTATAAAGTGTAATTGAAGATATGGTTTGGATCGTTTATGTTTGTTGATGCTATCATTACTTGATAGTTGATCAAATTAATAGAAAATAATAAATTTTATTAGGAAGAGAGATTTTTTAGGAATTGGGCGGGAAGTTTAAGTTCAGTATATAAAAACAGATAAATGTTAAAAAGAAATGAGTTAGATTGGATGGTAAAGCACGGTTAGTTGTTCAAATCTTAGCTTTCATACATTGTTGTATTTTTTACTTTTTTTAAATGGCTTTTCACTTATTACTTATTTTTTTCTTATTAATTAATTATGAGATTTTCTCACACACATATATATAATATTCTTTTATATTAATAATGACGGGTAAAAACACTACAAGAGAAACAACACAAGATATTATTCTCCTTGGGCAGAAAACACCCCAAGTCTTTCTGAAGGATCACAACCATCTCAATAGGAGGGCAAGTAAGAATGAACGCAACTCCCATAGATCTGGAACCATTCCTAATAAATCAGTCAGCAACTTGGTTCTGAACGTTTGGTCATTATATTTTCCTTATCGCACTAAATAACATCATACTTTAGCATCGACACTCATTGCTGGAAAACAGCGATTTTTCGACTATTAGAAAGTAGTCGGAAATCACTAAAATCTTGACGAAATTACGGAAACCACTGTTCCGACCAATTTTTCAACAAGTGGTCGGAACTATCGTCTACTATAATAGGTAGTCGAACATTTTTTGGTTTAGAATAGCACCATATTTTAGCATAAGTGCTCATATAGTCTTAATACAACTAGATATAATTAAAATTGACAAATTATATATATATATATATATATAAAGAGGCTAGACGTCTTTTCCTTTGGAGTTCCTCTCCGTTTCCTGATTAAAAAAATAATAATAAATATAAAGATACATGAAATTGGATTGAAGAAAATATTATGTGTATGGTGTCATGCAAATATATTAAAATATTTATCAATGAAATTTTATTTTCATAGAATAGAGGATTAGAAAGGTAAGTTTTAGCTGGTATCGTTCACACTTTAGTCAAAGAATTGAATTATTGTATAATTATAGATGGGTAAGTCCGCACGTTAAGACAAGTAGATGATCACTAATTCTCTAATTCTCTAATATAATTATTACTAAATTTAAATTAGTTAACGATGAAAACGATGGAGCGAGGGAGAGTGCCGCAATGATTGTGGTCTTATAATAATACATTATGGGTAAAGATTTAAGATCGAGACTTAATAGTTGCATTGTAAAAATTAGTCTAATGGTACCATGTTGTTCCCCTATGTGGGAGGTGATAGGTTCAAGCCTCAATGGAGATTTTTGATGTAATTTCACGTACTATAGTCAAGGGACTATTTTCGTAATTAACATTTCAAAAAAAAAAAAAAAAATCCCATCAATTTGGTTCCTAAATTTCAATAATTTTGGTTCCTAAATTTCAATAATTAACTCGAAATCTAAGCACCAACATCAAAAATTTTTGACCCAGAATGCTTTTGTGACAATTTTTTTTTCCACATCTCCAAAAGTTTTACATATCCAATTTTAAAAGACTAACTTAAATCACACTAAAATCTATAACGCCAATACTAAACCAACAACTATAAAAGAACTAACATAGTCGCATAACACAAATGTTTGAATGTCTCACATCAATAAAACCAAACTCTTATGAAGTTGGTAATTAAACAACTTCAATTCAAATAAAGGCATTGGTTTCTACATATAGAAATACATTGATTGATATATAATATACATACGCCAGCTGTATATATAATAGTGTTGTCTCTTTCACATTTTTCCGGCGACCGGAATTTCAAGATTGGCCATTCTCAGGAGCTTAGGGCTCCATCTTGGGTGCAAACGTTAAAATAGCGTCAGAAACTCTAAGGAAAATCATGTCTTCTCCGATCATACTTGCAAGATTAGATGCATGGAGTTTTGCCATCACAGCTGGCCCTGGATTTGCCAGAACAAGCTGTTCAAATATAGAAATAAAAAACACATAAATTTCTCTGTTCATCAGAAGCTCAGAGATTGCTAAGAAAATTTGCTTGCCTGAACATCTCTCTTTTGAAGAGACTTGTACAAATCTTCAAGGGCATGGATGCCACTGGTGTCTATATCAGTAACAGCTGCAATAGAAAAAATAATCTTAATCTTCTGTCAACTTTTTTTATTATTCAAAAAAAGAAAGAGAAATTTTATGATTTTAAAAACTTTTCTGACCACCGACGGTGGTTGCTGGAAAGTGGTTGGAAATTCTGACCATCAGATAAAGGTGATAGGAAAATTTGTCATCATGTAGAAAACCTAATTTCCGATCGCTGGAAATAGTGGTCAGAAATTATTTTAACATGTGGACAACCTAACCGACCATATTTTACAACCTTCGGTGGATAACTCAGGTTTTCCTGACTTCACCGAACATAACTTTCACATTTTACGACCTTCGATGGATAACTCAGGTTTTCCTAACTTCACCGAACATGTCCTTCACACCCATGAGAAGGTAAATCGAGTCAATCTAGTTTCGAAATTTAAGATTCAATATTAGATTGTACACATCGATCTATGCACACAGAGCTTAACCCAAAACTTAAACCCTACCCTACCTAGCTACGTCCCTACCACTAGAAGTAAGTTTAAGTCGGGCTTCTCATGACTACGGATAAAAGTATTTGGTATTGATAGATAGTCGGTAATATTTTGAGATCTTAAAATTGGTAAGATGACCGAAAATCTTAAATTTCTAACTACTTTTGGATGGGTTGAAATTCAAGTGGGTGCTACTTACGTGACATTTCAATTATCAAATAATGGACTCTTAATCCAGTGTTGCTTTCTTTCAGCTTCTCTTCTTCATCAGACAACCATCTTAGTATCCTACAAAAAAAAAAAAAAAAAAAAAAAAAAAAAAAAAAACAAAACAAAAAAAAAAAAAAAAAAAAACAAAATTGAGTTGCAAATCGTAGTAGAAAAGTAGTTATAGTGCAACTCCAACTAAATAAATTAAACTATTGACTTGATAACCACAAGGTTACAAGTTTGACTTCTCGTGAAAGCGACCTATAGGTCTTCGAGGAAACCTAGGTTGGTTTACCTCCTTATGATCTTTTACCAATTACGGTCACAAAATGGAGTTTACTCTATTCACACCCTCAAATAGTGGCTGCGGGTTTCCCTATTTACTAAAAGAAACAATAGTCACTGATTTAGGTACCTGTCCCTTGCATAATTGGAATTGGAGAAGTATATTGCGGAATCTACTCTAACAATCAGAATCCCAGGAATCTTTGTTGCCTCAGGATACTGCTGTATGTTCCTGTAAACATTAGTCCTAGGAATCTTTCCAAGGACGGCAATTCGTGGCCTTGTAACTTGGAGAAGGATTTTCGCAAAGGAAATGACTACCTGTTGTGCAAATCACCATTCAGAAGTCCGGTAGACAAAGAATCAGAACTGAATGATGTGTTTCATCTCAACTAAAAGTTTAAGTTGATAGTAAAACGGGAAAACCCAGAAGAGGCATCGTTCATTGTCCTTACTGCAATCAAGAGGCCTATTTCAACTGAGTGGAAGAGGACACCCAGAAATGCACCCATACATGCGACGAAATCAAACTTATCAATCTTCCATATGAGCACCATTGCGGGAATGTCAATAATCCCAACAACTGCAGATATGATGATGGAGGCCAAGATGGCATTTGGGGTGTATTTGAACAGTGGGGTGATCAGAACCAGTGTCAAGAGCACGACAAGTGACATCACAATGTTAGACACCGCGGTGTGGCATCCCGCCATATAGTTCACTGCAGACCGCGAAAACGATCCTAGAAAAGTTTCGAAACATTTCACAACCAGTTCCTTCACATAAATAAAATCATTGACGTGTTAAGTCCATTTTTTTTGTCCTGAATTTATAGGTGTCATTCCACTTTTTGTCCTCTTTTTTTCAGAACATCCCTATTGGTCATAGTATTCTGCAATACTACTAGGACCGACAAGGGATGTTCTGAAATTTTAAAAACTAAAAATGAAATGACACATATAAACGAAGATAAAAAATGGAATTATAACCATTGACAGTAAAGTTCTGGTACCTGTGGCTATATAGCAAGATGTAAATGAGCCTACAACATTCATCGTCCCTAACGCTACCATTTCTTTGTTCCCGTCTATCTGGTAATCCTTCAACGCTGCAAACGTTCTTCCAATAGCTGTGGCTTCCTGGAAACCAGAACTTGTTAGTGACAGTGACTGACCACAAACGCGGGATACGGTTAAGAATGTCAGACAAGACTTCAACTTACTGTCAATGCAACCATACCAGCAATGGCTCCGATCCTGAACCCTTTGGCGAGGTAATCACCCCAGAAATACAATTTATTGACAGACGAAGGATTGATGCCCTTCTCAATATGATTAACCTTTTTTTTAAGGTTAAAAAAACACAAAACGGTTAACACAGAAACAACATTATTGATTGGATCGAACTTATGTTGATGGGCACTTACAATCTGGACGCCATGCTTATCAGCATGTGTGATGTAGACGAAGAACGTTGAGATGATAACCGAGATTAATGGAGCAATTGCAGGCACCCAGAAATACTTCTTACTCTTCTTCCCCTGCAACAGGTAAGAAAAATATTTGCATAATTTATATATAAAACAAAAGAATAAAAGTAATCTGGTTATAAACAAGAAACGCTGTAATAATATGCAGATTCTTACAATGTACTTGGCAGCAAGAAGGAAAGCCAAGAAAGTGACTCCTATTACTATAGTCTGCCAGTTCCACTGAATTTTTTCAAGAGAAAAACGTAAATTACCCCTGGATTCGTTCAAGAAACACAACTGGAAATTATGAAATTTCCGTCTTAAATCAAGTCAAAAGCCTTGTTCCAACCACTTTTGGTATCCGGAAAAACCTTTGTTGCTATTTCCGACCACTTTTTGGTATTAACTTAATTTAAGATCACTTTCAGGTGGTCGGAAATTCCATAATTTCCAGTAGTGAAAAATCGATGGAACATAGCAAGAAAAAAAAAACTTTTCTCACCCCGTGATGAACTGAACTCCACACCGATTCCATCACAGATATAAGATCGGTTTTCTTGGTGAACTTCTTTATGCCAAGAAGGCCTTTGAGCTGTTGAAGGGCAATGGTTATGGCTGCACCACCCATGAATCCAACGATAGCAGCATGAGACAGAAAATCGATCAAGAAACCCAATCTGCAGCAACAAGTTATGAAGGTAAAAAAAATAGTTAAATTAACTTAATCATATATATGCATCGTGTCAATTTATGTATTATCTGGGAAAACGTTACACGACCTGAAGAAACCGAGCACGAACTGAGTAATCCCAGCAAAGAATGTAGCAGTGAAAGCGAGTCGTTGATACTCCAATTTATGTTTAACGGGATCATCAATTTCTTGCTGTAACATGGTTCCAAGCAACAGAGACACCACCGCCACTGGCCCGATGGCGATATCTCTTGAACTACCCATGAACGCATATATCAATGGCGGAACGAAGCTACTATCTGTAATGCCACAAAGAAAAACCCAAAAAAAATAAAAATAAATCAACACAGTTAAAGAAACACAGACTAAAAATACAAGATCTAAAACATGTTTAGCATACAAAGCCCAAACTGAGGATCCAAATTCGCGAGTTTCGCATACCCAATGTCCTGCACAAATGACAAAGTTAACAAAACCATCGCAAAAACATCCTAGTAAAACTTACATTCATTACTGGAAATTATGGAATTTCCGACCACCTGAAAGTGACCTGCAAAAAGTGGTCGGAAATAGCGACAAAGGTTTTTTTGGATACCAAAAGTGGTCGGAACAAGACTTTCGACTTGATTTAAGATCACTTTCAGGTGGTCGAAAATTTCATAATTTCCAGTAGTGATATTGTTGCATCCTTGACTAACCTGCGGAATGCACAGGCTAGCAATGGTGAGTCCGGCAATGAGATCGCCTTTAAACTTGGAAAGATTGTAGCATCTCCCCCATTCCAAAATGGGAAAAACCGCTTGGATTCCTAGGAACAACTTCTTCAACCAGGACTGATCCTTAAATTGGCGCAAAGGATCGTCATGGAAGAAGGTCTCCTTAACAGTCGCTTTGAATTCATGGAACAAGCTCTGCTTAGGAGGCACTCCCACCTTGTGAACATATGGCAAGCTATCCGAACGCCTGCCCGAATTAACACTAATGTTTGTACTATGAGCTGAACTCACCTCTGTCCCCTCGTCATCATCTATCTTACTCATTGTAACCAGACACAACAAAACAACCTTGTACAAGGTACACAAAACAACAGATTGTCACAAAGGAAATCAAGTAGTAATTACAAGAAACAAGAACACAAATGCTTACTTTGACGGACGGCTGAGATGAACTAAGGTCTTCAGAAACTGAAATCGAATATCTCCGCCATGAACAAGGTTAGTATTGTTGATCTTCCCGTCCTGGTTCAATGCACCCAAAACCAAACTGTATGTATATGTGTGTATAATAACTGTGTATAAGTTATTGGATAGCATAACAACTGTTTTCCCAATTACGTTAACATTATAATAATAATTCTTATGATTATTTATTATTTTCTTTTGATAACCCAGGTTTCCCGATATGACGTGATACGATGTTGTCATTGGGGTGACCATTTTGATTCCCAAATCGTGTTAAAATTGCAAAGTTAAAGACTTAATTGGTTAAAATTAAAAGTCAATGATCAATTTGTGAATTTAGCTATAGTCGAGAGACCATTTTAGATATTTACTCTATTTAATTATATGTTGTACTATTAGAATCATAGAAAAATGATATGTTGGCACATTTGTCGCAAGCTAAGAGTATTTTACATTAAAAAATTGAAACAACGTATTCATATGAAGTTTAGAGTATAAAATATTTATCAATGAAATTTTATTTTCATAGAGTAGAGGATTAGAAAGGTACGTTTTAGCTGGTATTGTTCACACTTTAATCAAAGAATTGAATTATTTTTGTATAATAATAATTATAGATGGGTAAGTCCGCACGTTAAGACAAGTAGATGATCACTAATTAATTCTCTAATTACTAAATTTAGATTAATTAACGATGAAAACGATGGAGGGGGGGGGGGAGTGTCGTAATAATAATAATAATAATAATAATAATAATAATAATAATAATAATATATTTATATAGAATTACTAGGAATTAAATTCCAGTGTTTGGTTTACAAGAATAGAATTACTAGGAATTTCAATTCCAATGTTTGGTATACATGGGAATTGAAAGGCAATAAGTAGTATAAAGTCAAAAATGTCCATTATTGTTGTTAGGCATTAATTTTATGTTAAAAAGGGAAGGGGTAATTTTGACTCATCATTATCTTTTTTTTCTTCCTGAAATCCCAAGAATTAAAATACCAGGAGGTGACATGGAATTTTAATTCCATGAAAATGGGAGAATTGCAATTCCTTTCAACCAAACAAGAGAATTTTGTGGCCTTTGGAATTAGGTGGGAATTAAGTGGGAAGGGAATTTAAATTCCCTCCAACCAAACTCCCTGTAATAGTTGTTTATTGATCTTTTTTATTTGAATCGGTGAACCATCTAGACTGATTTACCTAATTGTGATTATTTGTTGACTATGTCACAAAGTGGACTCCACCTAATACGCACCTTTGTGATAGCTCATAAATCAAAAAATAAAAGAGTTTTTTTTTTACTTTTTTAGTCCAACGACTATTGACAAATTTCATATTTGACCCTTAACTATTAATTTTTTTCACATTTAGTCTCACAACTTTTAAAACATTGGCACATTTGGTCATCTAACATAATCTCCGGCTACCAACTTTTTTAGATGAAAAATGTCATAGAAAATGACAAATTTATCCTTAAAGATAAGTCACTTAACTACTGTATACTCATGTTCAACAACATAGAGATATAAATGTAGTCACCCGTGACCATAATTTAAGTCAAAGGACCAAACGTGACAAGATTTTAAAAGCTGTGGAACTAAATGCAAAAAAAATTAATACTCATAAACCAAATGTAGAAATGATCCAGTAATCGTAAGATCAAACATCAAAGAAAAAAAAAACTCAAAAACAAAATATATAAGTGACCTAATAGTCATCGAGTGATGATTATAGTCGAAAATCATTATAGTTGAAAATATAAACTCATACATACAACACTCCAAGCTTCTCTCTTGGGATAAAATATTATAAAACGTGCTACCAGCAAAATTCAAACATATAACTTATGGGTTAACAACACAAGCACTAACCACCAAGCGAGTCAAGACTCAAGATCTTTACAACACTCCAAGCTACTTAGTACATGTTATACTCCCTAAGCTATCAGTTACATTATATTGTCATTAATTGCTAGCATAAGCTGATGAACAAAAAACAAAACAAACCAAAACATGAAACACAAAACATAGTGAAAGAATGTCGCACATAAATCAAGAGAATAATAGCCACATTGGATCAAGATCCAAATACTTATGTATGACTAGGTTTCCCTATAATTCTTTACTCTCTTTATCATGGGGACCAGCCTCCAGCCCCATTAATTACACAACCACTTTGTCTAACTACATATACTCCATGCATGTGATCATCTGATCTGATCGGTATTAATGGCAGCTATATATCATTCGACTCCCTGCACTTTTCCGGCGATGTTCCGGCGGCCTGCCGGCTTCAATAGGGCCAAAACTCTGCCCTTTTTACCTTCGATACGCTTTCGAGTACTCCCGCCGGCGACACGTTCCCCATCACCGTCACCTTCTTGTTCTCTAAGTCTATGCTGAAAGATGTCACTCCTATATATATAGTAATGGATTTGGTGAGTCGTTGTGTATAGTTTGATGGTAAATTACGCTTTTAAGGAATTTTACACTTCAATATTTTGATTCGTGTGACATTTTCAATTATAGTACTTATCGAATTAAGACATAATTTGCAACTAACTTTATTTTCTTCTCCCAAAAGGTTGAATCCCTAACACCTGACTCAAAAAATGATTTAAATCAAGATGACTCAATGGCTCAACAGACAAGCCAAATGTTGGTGCACACAAGGGATCTGCATACTTTAAGTATAATTTCCACATTGTGGCTGGCAAGGTTCAAACCTTGATCTCTTCTCTCAAATATTGCCTACTAAATCAGTGAGCTAAACGACTTGGACTGCAATTAACTTTCTTTCTTCCTCCAAAAGGTTGAATCCCCAACCCAGGCCAAAAAGACGATGTAAATCAAAGTGACTCAATGACTCGACAGACAGGCCAAATGTTTGTGCACATAAGGAATCTGCCTACTTTGACATAATCCCCACATTATGGTTGTCGAAGTTCAAAATTTGGTCTCTTCTCTCAAATACTAACTACTGAATCAGTGAGCTCGGGCTGCAATTAACTTTCTTCACCAAAAATAGGAGTGGTGAAAGAGGAAGAAGGAAAAAAAAAAAATTAATTAATTAAACATTTTTCAAATCTGAGTTTGGCTGGTACCTTCCATTTTAGAGAGGTGTTTCTTGACTTTACTAGCACAGCCCTGACAATGAAGAGAAACTCTCATCACCACCACCTGCCGCCACCGCCGGAAAACGCAAACCACCAGTACACATGCATTTATATCATCCATTTTATTAATTAAACCACCTCAAATGATCCAATATAATAAAACATAACAGAAAAAGTAATAATAATAATATATGCATAACCTGAAAGACATGAGTGTTGGAAGAGGATAATGTGGATGCCGCCGCCGCCGCCGGTGGTTTCTGCGCTTTTTCTCGACGACACTCACCGCCGTTACCATTTTTTACGGGTGCCAGTGCGAGTGAGGCGGCGGAGCAGCCGCCGGTAAATAATAACGTCTTGCCACTACGCCTCGTCGGTGGTTTCCGCGCTTTCTCTCGACGACAGTCAACGCCGCCGCTACCTTTTCTGACGGGTGCCAGTGCCAGTGAGGCGGCGGAGCAGCCGCCGGCAAATAGTAACGCCTTGCCACCACGCCTCGCCGGCGACGGCGGCGACGCCGCGTAGTCGCGGAATGTGGAGCGTGGTTTCTGGACTAACCGCATGTACTTCTCATTGCCTATAAAAGGCGAAATTCTCTTGTCCCCAGAACCCTCGTATCTCGACTCAACAGAATAGTAAACTGGTAAATTACGATAATTCAACGGTCCATTAGACGGGAGGAGCATGTATTTTTCATTACTAGGGACGAAGAGCGTCGGGCGTTGATGATGCCGGCGAGTCGGCGGCGTGGCAGCGGCGGCGCGGGAACCAGGGGGTGTCATGCTGCGGCGGCGGAGAACCGCCGTGGCTTTGTCGGACCGGCATGAAAACCCTCTCATCATATTCATAGTCTTCCCCGTCGTCGATCCTAACACGGCCTTCTTCATCTTGAATTTCATGCTACCTTAAATCTTCCGAGGTCGGCCGGTGAATAGTAATTGGGGACGCCGGAGAATTTAAAACTAGGTGCATAAATGTCCGAAGAAAGGGTGCGCATATATATACACACAGAGTGTTACTTTTAGTTCCGGAATTTATCTCTAAAAATGTTTACCTTTAAATGTCACAATAAATGTTTTATGATTTAATTTTATTGTTTGTTCTATATTTATAGGTAATAGTTCATTTTTAACTATTTTTTTCAAAACATCTTATTTGGTCCTATTATTATTGTATCATAAGAATAAGAATTTTTTGGTCATGTATCAATAAAATCAATTAAATGTCGTTAAATACAAGTGTGTTTTGATTTTTAATTAGAATTTTTTTTCATATATATATATATATAGCGGGTCATCCCACTTGTATATTTTAAAAAACAAAATCAAAATACCTTTGTATTTAACGGCATTTCAATAATTTTGTTGACGGGTGTAACAAAAATGGTCATCTCACAATAACAGTAGGATAAAAAAGGGATGGTCTGAGCAACAAAATAATTATAATAATAATAATAGTAATAATAATAATAATAATAATAATAATAATAATAATGCTTTAATTTTTTGATATGTTATAAGAGTATATATTAAAATTTAAATCCTCCAAAATATATTTATATTATAAAATTATTGTCCCATATATCTAATGTGTTGAAAATGTATGATATAATGTAAACCACTATATTGGCATATTGCCATGTATTGTCAGAATCAACATGGAGAGCAAGGTATGTAGTAGCAGCAAGAATTGAAACCTGCTCTTACATTTTCAAAGTAAAATAATAATAATAATAATAATAATAATAATAATAATAATAATAATAATAATAATAATAATAATAATAATAATAATAATAATAATTTCCCTTATTTAAAAAAAAAATAAAATTGAAGTGTTAGTTAATCATTGATTCTAGCTAGAAGTCTTCAATTCTCTCTTCTTTTTTTTTTTTCTTTTTTTTTTTCACTCGATCAATACAGAAAATGTGATGATAGTACATATTCCTGAACATATCATTAATAGTTCCCAAATAGCAATGGTTTTTAATACATGCATGTACGGATGGGAGGAACTAGTTGATGTATTATATGCCTCAAATTAAATTAGAACAGTTAAAAGCTAGGGTATAGTAGCTACCTCAATAATTCAACTCCTATTTCATTGCCCTGAAAATGACTTGAGAAAGCTCTTGTCTTTGGGGTACAACTGCCCTACCCACCTACTAAGTATACATGCATATATATGTGTATAGTTCTCCACATGCAGTATATTTACTTATCTAGCTGGGGTTCGACTCTTGTAAAGGTTGTATACTTCTCCAAGGGGTGTTTGGTAAATAGTTGTTAGCTGATTTGGTTAGTGAATTTTTCTAGTTGATAGCATTAACTGACTGTAGGAAGATATTTGGTAAGTTAGCTGATTAGCTTATTACATACAAAAGTACTTTCTCAAAAAACTAATCGAAAAAAGTTACTTTGAGCAATTTTTTGAATTTTAGCGTTTTGGAGCAATGAAATGTTACAAAAAACTAATTAATCAAACACTTGTATTTATTGTTTAACCAAGTCAAACAGCTAATAGTTGTCAAATAAGCTAACTATATTGTCAAACAGGGCCTATAAATATTTAACGGGAGTGGTGTGTATAATTCTCCATATGTAATATATTTACCTAGAGGTTTGATTCTTGTAAAGGGTGCGCACGCTGGTCTGATCTGAAAGCTAATAAGGGTCAAGCTTTCCCTGATGTGACTTGGACCGAATTCAAATTAGTCTTTGTCGTAATTAGACATCCTATGTTATTGTATGGAAAGAATGATAATGATAAAAATGGATTATCTCTTATCTACCGCCCCTATAAAAAATAACAAAATATTAACAGATTTAGTAACCGAAATAAATAACTACAACTTAAATACTTACCACGTAATTAGACGTCTAATTAGCATTTCAATATTTTACCAACAAAAATTTGTTAGTAAGTTAATAACTTACCAATATATTTTTCATTGGTCAATTTGATTTTTCTTATACTATATCAATGTGGTAAATCAGAATAGCTTTAAAACAGTAATAAACAGCAAACCAAACACAAGTGAAGGTAAGAAATGACAGAAGATGGTGGGTAAAAGGTGCAGGGAGAATCAGAAAGTAGGGAGGGCAAGTAGATCATATAGAGATCTACTACCATATAATAAAAATATAGGAGAATGTAAATCACGGTGACTCAATGGCTCAACAAACAGAGCCAAATTTTGGTGTGCAATAGAGATTTGTCCACTTCGGACATAATTCCCATAATGTTATCGCCGAAGTTCGAATTTTGATATCTTCTCTCAAATATTGTCTGCTAAACCAGTAAACTAAACCCGTGCAGACAGGATATGTGTTTTCTTTATGAAGGAATGGAAATGAAAGCGATACAAGAATAATTATATATTCCGTGACCATGCCCCTAATAAGGAAAATGATAAGTAGTGGATCAGAGTCCCATTAAGTAAAACTCTGTCACATATCTGAATTTTATTTGAGGAACAAAACACCACGTAAAATAAAACTTGTGACCAACTTTGTTACGTTTTTCCTTGACCAATACGGTTATCGGACTTAATCCTCCAATAAAATGGAGTAAAAATTGAAAAATAACTATTCAGAAATAGACCAAATACCATTATTATCATATCACTCCATGACAATTCAAGGCCCCTAGTAAACAGCAAACAAACCAAAACACTTTAATAAGGTAAGAATTGGCAGAAGATGGTGGGTCAAAGGTGCATATATTTATATATGGAGAAGAGCAAGTACAAGTGCATACAGAGTTGCAGAACATATATCAATTGCATATAGAGAGAGAGAGAGAGAGAGAGAGATTGATCTTCAGTCATAAATGAATGTAAGGTCAAGATTCTAGCTGACAAAACACTGCAGATTTCAGCTTCTTACACTGTTCCCCCACCCCCACCCCCACCCACCCTGGCCCCTAGTATTGCAGCAAATAAGCTTCAAACTCCAAAAATGATATATAGGGAGTGTTAGGAAGTGTTTGGTAAATAGCTGTACTAGCTGATAGTTGTTAGTTGATTGGGTTAATAAGTTTGATTAGTTGATGGCATTAGCTGATTGTAGAAATATGTTTGATAATTAATTACATGTTAGCTGATATATAGTTGATTACATACAAAATGACTTTTTTCAAAAAACTTGTCGAAAAAGCTACACTCATATTGGAGCAAAAAGCTGTTACAAAAAATTAATTAATTAAACACCCATATTGATTGTTTAACTAAATCAAACAGCTAATAGTGATCAAACAAGTCAAAATTGGCTGATAGGTTAACTATTTTCCCAAATAGGGCCTTACTCCCAAGAGAGTAAAACACTTATTACACATCATGATAGACGAGAATAATAAAAACTTTTAATTGGGAGCAGTTTATTGACCTTTTTTAGTTTGAGTCGATTAGCTATGAGTAATCTAAGTTAATTTGCTGATTGTTCACTTGTTTGTTGACTAAGGTCACAATGCGGTCTTCATTCAGAATGCACTATCCGGTATTCGGTGCGGGTTTTTTCGTAAATCAAAGACAACAATTGAAACTACGGGTCACTTTTCTTTTTTCATTTTTTTGTCTTGAAGGAGTCAGAACATGCTATGTAAGTCAAAAATAAAAATAAAATAAAATGTGAGAATACGTGTAATATTACTCTCCAAAACTCTATCCAATTTCGCCCTCAACAAGTAACCAGTACCACTATGTAACAAGTAACCAGTACCACTATGTACGTTCCATATATGTACATGCAAAATAATTGAAGATGTAATTAATTAAAGTCAACTTTTCAAGAAAAAAGCTTGAGATGGTCTGACAATATGAGGCAACTTTACTAATGATAGTCAAAGTTGATAGAATTGTAACAGTTAATATCATCAATAGTTACGGTCCATCCAGTTGTGTAGACCACGCTCCTAAAACGACGTCATTTCGTGTATTTTTTCGCATAACCCCCTGCAGCATACATCTTTATAACTCACAATGTAAATTATTCTAAAGTATAATATATATTATTCTAACTCATAAAAGTACATTATCTTATCCCAAAAGTTTCATTATTCTAACACATAAAGTATATTATTTTAACACATAATGTATATTATTCTAACACATAAAATACATAATTCTAACTCATAATGTACATTATTCTAACTCATAAATCCAACGACGTCGTTTTGGACCGTAGTCCACACAACTGTAAATTTGCCTAATATCATAAAGACTAATAGTCTTTGTTACTTGATTTAGTATTAAGAGTTATTTTTATCAACTTTTTGACCAAGTATAAGAGCAGTATTGAAAATTTAAGTTTCTCTCACTCTATGTACAAAGGAATTCATTAGAATGGGGTTAGAGTTTTTGTTGTGAACATTTAACATAACGAGAGAAGCTTGAATAATTTTGATTTGAAAAGTTACTATTTTTGCAATTGTAAGTTGTAACAATGACCAATGAAGAAAATAAAGAGAATGTTGTTTTTTTTTACACTACCCTAATATATGGTAAGAAAATTGAAACCAACTAAATGATTAAATCATATAACAAATGCATATATAGTCAATAAAAGTTCATAATTGATTTTATCATTTGGAAATAGTTAGATAACCATTTTGAAAATTAACTCAAAAATTAACTTATGTAGGATGATAAGAATGAACTGCATTGATAGCATTGGCTACAATTTCAAAGGCAAATTATTATTTGGACCGGTCCACCTTGCAAGGTAGACTCGGGTTCAAAATACACAATTTACATATTAAATGTTTACAATTTATATACTGAATGCTCACAATTTTGTAAAAAATAAATTGTGAACATCATGGTTGCAGTAGGCGCTAGTCGGGCGTCCAGGTAGCGCCTAGGCGAAATCTAGGCGCCGCTAGGCGGGCGCCAAAAAAATAGTGTGAGATTTGCAATTTGACAATTTTAATGAGGCTGTTTTCAACATTCAATCAAATAACACATCCAAATAAATGAAATAATGATAATTCATAAGTCATAACATGAAAATAATATTTTTTTAAAAAATATTCAAATACTTCAATCATTCAAAGATTCAAAGTATCAAACTAGTCTACGGACGGCTAGACCAGACGACATCAGATAAAATCGGAAGAAATCGACCAACTCAGCCGAGTTGGCCGACTAGGCCGATTTCGCCGTCTAGGCACCCGACCGATTTTTGGACGCCTAATAGTGAAAGCGGAACGGCTTCGCCTAGGTCGATTTTTACAATAGTGATGAAAATTAAATATGTAAATTGTATACATTTAATATACAAATTGTGTATTTTGAACCCGAGTTCACCTTGTAAGGTGGACCCTGATCCAAGGTACAATTATTGAATTTCAAAGCTTTGGTATACTACGTACATAGGTGTTCCTGGTCCCTTTTACACAGTACAAACGTAGCTAGCTAGGAACCTAGGACCACCGATGAATAAAAATTATTGGGTCGGGGCCGCCATCAAGTTGAAGGAAATTGTTAAAAAAAGTGGAATAAGATTTTTAAATTTTAGATAACTTAATATTACCTGGAGTTGTCCGAGTATAGTAGCATCATCATATTTAGTTCTAAACTTTTTGTGATTTTTTCATTTGTTAAAGTAAAGACAAAGTTAGGAATATAATTGATTAAAAAATTGAAAGTTGAAGAACCATGGATGGTATTAAAATTTTAGAACTAAACGCAACGGTGCCGCTATGCTTAGAGGACCTCAACTGATATTAATTCAAAATAGACAAAATTACTTTGATTAACACGTTTCAATCACCCTAAAACGCATTTAGACTAAATACATTTCTGGGGTATTTGGTATATAGCTATTAGTTGATTGAGTTAGTGAGTTTGACTGGTTGATAGCATTTGCTGATTGTAGAAAGATGTTTGGTAAATTAATTGTTAGTTGATAACTGATTACATACAAAATGATTTTCTCAAAAAATTGATCATGAAAGCTAATTTGAGCAGCTTTTTAAATTTTAACGTTTAGCGTTTCAAAACAATAAGCTGTTACAGAAAGCTAATTAATCAAGCACTAATATTAATTGTTTAATCAATTCAAACAGCTAATAGTGTGATCAAACAAGCCAAAATTAACTTATAAACTAACTAAAACAGCTGATAGCTTAAGGACGACTAATAACACAAATCTTACCATTACTCTATAACCTAAGTACGACAAATACAATTTTCTCTAAAATAAATATATTTAAAAGTGAAAACATTACTTTACGATTGATTGGCTAAGTCTATTTAAGTGAGGCCAAATAGCTCAAAACTTGAGCCAAACCTGAACTCAACTTATAAAGCTCAAACCGAACTTCGTACTCTAAATTCAGCCAAATTTCAAACTTTTAACGTTCAGACTTACATTCTTACTCTGGGTAAAATTGTTGGTATTTATTTACCAACTTTAACAACATAACTATAATAATGCCAACATTGGGCACGCAAAAAATCACAACTTTGCACAATGTTGTCATTTTCAACTCCACAAAGACTGATAAGGACACTACTGACTCAAACCAGGGCAAATGTTTCACCAAAAACTCATATTTTGTTTCTGAAACTACCCTTTTTTTTTTTATGTCGAGAGAAACCCGCAGCCACTACCTAATGACATACACAAGTAAACTCTGCACATGTCTAATAGCCAGACAGCACTAAGAAAGTGTTGACAAGAATTGAACTCATGACCTTTAGGTACGAAAGTCATGTTGCACCCACTCGACCACTACCTAAGGATATGCACAAGTAAACTCTGCACATGTCTAATAGCCAGCAAACCGCACAGGAAAGGTAACTACACTAAGAAGACCCTGTGCGACGGAATTGACCGAGAGAGAGTTAACAAGAACTGTACTCGTGACCTTTAGGTACAAAAGTCATGCTGCACCCACTCGACCACTACCTAAGGATATGCACAAGTAAACTCTACACATGTCTAATAGCCAGCAAACCACACGGGAAAGGTAACTGCACTAAGAAGACCCTGTGCGACAGACTTGACCTAGAGAGTGTTGACAAGAACTGAACTCGTGACTTTAGGTACAAAAGTCATGCTGCACCCACTCGACCACCACCCCTATCAGGGCTTGTAGAACTACCTTTATACATAAGGGGCACAGCTCTTCCTAATCCAATGAATGTGAGAATTAATTGCCACAGGGAGAATTCTCACTTTCTAAGCATGGACCTACAATAATTAACATGAAAGCCAAGTATAATGAAGAGCCACTAACTATTAACAACTGGGTAGATGAAACATTGGTTGGAGACTAAATATATAGGGTACACACAGCATTTATACATGCACCAACCTGAATAAATTTTAGCCCCGCCACCTACGAGTAAGTAGTCAGTGGAAGACGAGGTCGAAGTTCTGCTACCTGTATTCCCGGGGTACAAATAGGGTATTCCGTGGGAGACTAAAGAATTAGGCCGGTGAGGTCAAAAGGTAACTCGGGACATTGACAGATAGATGATGGCTAAGAACCTGAGCTATGGAGATGCAATATCACCAAAATAAACCGTTATGCCTTTCACGTAGCCATGAAGCGTGTTTTCTTCAATCTGGATGAGCAAAACTTGGTTTTAACTTCTAGAGGATTACATTTTTTTTAGAAAACGGGTGAGAAATATTCAAGGAAATGTGTCGTTATACCTGAATTTGTAAAGGGGGCGAAGATAACCAAGAAAGCTGTTCCACCTGAAGCAAGTCCACATTGCGAGGCAAATACATCATGATGTTAGGCGTAATGTTTTGCGCAGCCTGAAATAACGAATAACTGCAGAAGTGATACAATTAGTATTTCTAAACCACAAGTAGATAGTGAAGGCAATGTTAGCAAAACAACAACATACTAGTATGCAAATAGACGATAACAAAGACTGTTAAGACTCTAACTGTAGGAGGCACCTTTAAGCCCGTACCATACTCATACTAATCCCCATTCGCACCAGGCCGGCCCAATTAAGGGGCAAAGTGCTGGCCAGGTTGGTTTTTCCATACGAGAGGGGGTTTGAACTCCCGACCTCTCTTAAGGGATGAGAATGCACGGCCACTCACGCCAACCAAGCTGGTTAAAATGACATTTTAATAATTATGTTTCCTCATGTTTACCCGCCGGAAAATAAATTTTATTTTCCCACACTTCACACTTTGAATCATAATCTGTTGCAGGCTGCAGAACATACCCATCTTTTGGTTTCAGGAGCTCGAGAGTATACGTGCTTCTCAATTTGTAAGTCGGGCCACCCCATGGCGGTGAGAGAAATACAATGTCTCCCTAACGAAGAGACCAAAACAAATTTTTAGAGGAAATACACAAATAAATAAAACGTTGCATTGAACATATGTCTTCAGGAATGAATTAACAAAAAAGAGAGATCGAACGATGAGCCTGTATTCAAAAGCACATTAATTTCTCTCCCCCGTAATCTTAGTCGATGGCTTCACAAGGATGGTTGCCCTCAGATGAATAATCAAAAAGGGAAATGAAGAGCAAAAATCCACTAGATCTCCAAATATTTTCTTTTAATTTCAGTTCATTGATTTTTCTCATTCAGAACTTAGGATAAGTGTGGTAGTAAGAGTCGGTAAATGAACACATTTTAGCAGTTCGATAGGAATTCATCAAAATTGTTCATGTATAACACGCTAAAGTCATAACTGAGACACCCAAAAATCATCAAATAATTACGGAGTACACCAAAATGTGACAGCAATCACTCCAAATCTCCAACACAAAACTTCAAGGAGATAATGTAAATGCCATTCCACGAAGACTAATACTTTCAGCTGCTATAGGTAAAGGAACACTTCCTATTCTCGAATCTTTCAATGCCAACATAACAAAATTACGGTACTGCCTAGACTAACATAATACATATGCCAATGAATATCCAAATTGTCTTTAAATGTCAGGGATCAGCTCAAGAAAAGCATTACCTTCAGAAATGGCGCCAATTGGAAAAAGTCTCCAGTGAGGAAATCAATATACTCCTCCACTCCATATATCCTTGCATTGTTTCTAGCCATTTCAATCTTTTTAGGATCAATGTCAATGGCAATAACATGGTTACACCTAACAATATACAGTAAATATTAACAACTGTAATTCGAGCAACACCAGCCAAGTTAGTCAGACTATTGACTTAATAACCACAATGTTAACTAACAGTAGCTCGGGAGCAACCCGTGCCAAGTCGGTCGGGTTGTTGACTTAGTAAACACAAAGTTACAAGTTAGACTCCCAGTGATAACGACCTCTTATTGGCCTTATTGGCTTATACACCACAAAAATGCATCATACCCTCAGTAAAATGAAACTACAGTATATCTAAAATGAAACTGAAAAACATGTCTAACAAGAGTATATTATCAAATGAAATTGTACTTGAATTGAAATGATACTTTAGTTATGCTGAAATGAAACTAAATAAAATGTATTGAGTGTATATTGTCAAATGAAATTGTAGTTGGATTGAAATGATTGCGGTTTCCTTGGTCACTTAAAAAACAAAAAAATGAACGAAATAGGGCATGAAGAATAAGCTTACTTTGCGGCAAATTGAATGGCGTTACCGCCGACGCCGGTGAAACCGTCGATGACGACGGCACCGCCGAAGCAGCGGTCGGCTTGTCTGGCGGCGATTTCTTCCGGCGTGACGGAAAACCACCCCTCTTCATCCATCTTTATGCCCTCGTCGTACTTGGAGAAGAGATTGAATCTCTGAAGCCAATACTTCTCGACCATCGGACTAACCCCTTCGCCGTCTCCGGGCTCTTCCGCTACCCGCACCGCTTTCACCTTTACTGGTTTTTTCACACAGTTATATAACAGTGAGAAAACTGAAAATTCATACATAAATATATTCAAAAACAGAAAATGCAACAAGAAATATTGGCTTGAAAGTTGAAACCTCTTCGTTTGAAAAGCTTTCTGCGCTTCCTTGATCGACGGCGTTTAGGCGCCATTGCCACTGAGAACTGAGAAGTGCTACGAATACGGACAGTCGAAAATAAGTCGGGTCATCCGGGTTTCCCCGGATCCAAATCAACCCAATTTGGAAAGTAGCAATCGTTATACACTTATACCGTGGTCCTAAACGACTTAGTTTTGAATTTTATTTTTGACATTGACAGTTTGTTGTTATTCATGTCACAATTTTTTTTTTGAGTTTTTACCCATTTTGGTTTCTTGACTATGGCTCATTCTCAATTTTACATTTCGACTTTTAATTGTACTCAATGTGGTCCCTTGACTTTAAAAAATTATCTCAATTTAGTCCTCCATTACATTTTCCATCAATTAGGCGTTAAGTTGGGGGTATTTTGGTCCATTCAACATAATATGAAGCCGTCGGGTGAGAAGTCATAGACGATGCCATCTCTTCGTCTTCCATGTCGTCCGATGAGGATACACACTCAATGATATCTGATGGTTTTAGGGTTTTCGGGCCCAAGGAGGTCCAACACAACCTTAAGCTGGTGGATACACCTTTCACAAAAGGGTTTGAGTCTTAGTAAAATATGATGCTTAACAGTACTTGTCTATTCCCTCTCTGGGTTCTCGAATCTCTCTCATACAAGGGTGGAGGAGCCCTCTTTATAGTGGCTCCTCCTCTTATTGACTTAAAGGCTTATGATGGCCGACTTAAAGATTACATTCAATGTGCCGAGCTATTGGGCGACGTTACGGAATCCACCAACGGCTCTCTTTGGCTAGTAACTGGCGGACCGAGCCCGGCCTTTAATGCCTCAACGGCTCCTTGTCTTAACTGCGTTGAAGGCTCCCTCAACGGCTCTCTGGACCGAGTCCTTCCCTAAGTCGGGCCTGGGCCGACTCCTCGTCCCTGTTTAGCATTGGGCCGTCCTTCCGGTCTCCGAACTGGGCCTCCCTCTTTGGATCTGGGCCGAGTCCTGGACTCGGCCCATGCATTCTTTCTAGGCCTCTTTTCTTGGGCCGGGGTTCTCACCCCATCAACTAGTCCCTCACTTTTCCATACCCGGTCCACCAACCTGGGTTTGGAAAAGTAGTAACCATTTCCTGCTCACCGAATCCGTGCCTTGATTGGCCCAGATTATTCGCTATCTCCCGGATCTCGCGGGACCGTTCTGATCTCTTCGGCCTGGCCTGACACCTATAAATGACCTTGGCCGTTCTTTTCTTAACTTACTAATTTCTCATGGGTCGCTCACCACTGAAAGGGAAGCAGATTGATTTTGGGTCGCCCCGGCGCCCTTTGCCTTTGAAACGGACTCGGCCTGAGAGGGAGCCTAAAAGGAAAGCTCCCCGTCCGACTCCACAGAGATCACCTGCTGACGCTGCCTCTATGGCTCTTCATCCGCCGACTCCTGCTCGTCGTGAAGTCGCTCCGACTTCTCGCCCTTCTCCTCCTCCGGGGTCTGCTCGAGTAACTTCCCCAGGCGGGACCGTTGTTGACGTACCTGTCCCAGAGCAGCTGACCTTTCGTATGACCTTTTCTATTCCTCTGGATGACTTGGACGGTCCGGTTACCGGGCTAATGAACGAGGAAGACTTCGCTCGTTATCAGGGGATGTACCCGGACGATGAAGAGCTGGTTGTGCCGCCACTCATGCCGGCGTTCTGGGACTCGCTTTGCCCACCCTCTCCTGGGCCATCGGAAGGGTTCTTTGGAAGCGGCTCCTCCTCGCCGAGTGAGTGATCTTTGTGAACTGGGGTCGGCCGGATTCTCTAGAGGGGTAGTTCTGTTAGGAGCACTCGCTTACTCTGTAATAAGCTCCTTGTAACCTGCACCTCTTTATTTTATAATAAAATATTTTCGGCCTTCAGTTTTCATCTTTTTCAGTATATCTAGTGCACTCGTCCGTCTCAATTGTCGAGGAGTCGGCTGCGATGTCGAGTCCTCCTTCCGCTTGACACCTGTAAATCTCGCTTCCTAGGGCGAGCCAGGCTTTTTTCAGTTTAGCGTGCGAATCTCACCCTTCCCGAGCTAATTGGATGGGATTAATCTCTGACAGAGATTCACGCTGCCCATCCAATCCGGCTCAGTTATGTCAGTTACGATTCCCTCCGTGATTTGCGCCTTGGTCGTTGCTCTCTCGAGGCTCTATATAAGGGCTTTTGGTAGCTCTGTGCTTTCTCACCATTTTACACCTCAAAAACCTCAAGCTATGAGTTTCAGGGACGGTGATCGTCGTTGGTCCATCCGTAACAAGGAGCATGCCCGGCAGGAGGAGCTCCGGCGGAAGAGGGCGGCTAGCGGAGGGTACCTGGTGGGCGACTCCGCTTCGGATCCCATCGTGGTGCCTCCTGACATGCTTGATCCGATGGTCGTGGAACCGGAGGAGGACGAGATGGTGCCCTTGGTAGAGGATCCAGAGCCAGAGGGGGACCTAGACTGGGAGGCTCCTCCGCTTTTTGGCGTGGCCATGTCGCCGAGTGCTCTGGAGAGGCCCCTGCAGATGGTCGTAGATGGGAAGCCTGCTGTGTATCTGGATGAACTGCCCGAGCCCGAGCCTGAGCCGAGTCCGTTGCCTTTCCGCCCCCACTACTATTTGGAGGGTCCGGAGCCGGTGCGTCACGCGGAGGAGGAGGAAGTTAAGCCCTAAGCCTGTCTTTTCTGTGTAATGCCTATAGCCGAGTCCTCGGCCCTGTACCCCTGTCTTTATGGAATAAAATCTCGTTTTTACTTTTTCGACCCCGGTTTTTGCGTGTTCCTTTGGCCGACTCTTGGTCGTTATGACCGACTTGTAAACTCTGTCCGACTAAGTCCCGTGGGTGGGGGACTCGGCAAATCTTGTCGGCCGATCTTGCAACCTGAAGCTCGTCCGGGCCTCTTTATTTGGCCGAACCCGGCCGGGTCACTTCCAGAAACTTCTAGCGTGATCTGGATGGGCCCCCATAGCTTTTGCCTTGATGGGCCTTTGGTCTGGCAGGCCGGGTCATCGTCACTCAGCCTTGCCCTAGGGTAGACGCGCCGCTTGCAGGCTAGCCCTAGGCCTGAACCGTCGTTCCGCCCATCGAGGCATTAAATGCGGCGTCCCTTCGACGTCTTGTCGCCCCCTATTCCTCCACTACGGAGGCGCCGCGTGGCAGCCTCTTGGACTTCCCTCTCCCTTTAAAAGGCCTTTTCCTTCCATTCTTCTTCTTCAATTCTCCCACTAAGCTTCCGCTTCCTTCATCGTCTTCTCAGCCTCAACTTCAATCTGTAAGTAATGTCTTCCTCTTCTCATTCTTCTTCTTCCTCCCGCCGGCCGTCCTTTGACAACCCGGCGGGGACTTCTCCGTCGTCCTCTTCTTCTTCTTCCGTCGTCCGCCGCCTGGAAATGCCGGCGGACTTCCAGGCGGTGTCTTCCTCTTCCCTCTTAGCCCCTTCTTCTTCTGGGGCGGCCACTCCGATGAGCCCAGCCCCGTTAACTACGGTGGCGGCTTTGCCGGGCGGCGTTGTGCAGCCGCGAGGCAAGTTTGACTCGGTTGTCCGGCCGTCCGGTCTTCCATCGTCGGCCACCGCGGCGGACCTGGATATGGCCCGCTTTCTTCTTGGCCCTTCGGCCATGGTCGTCGCGGCGGAGGGCCGGCCTATTCACGACCCGCCGGAGGGTTTTGTGGGTATCCATTTGCACTCGGTTGCATTCGGTTTCCGAGTGCCCCCACACCCATTTCTTTCGCTTCTCTTTCGGCATTATAACTTGGTCCCGGGCCAGTTAGTGCCTAACTCTCACCGACTCCTGACCAGCTTCATCAATCTCTGCCATTGGTGGAAGTGCGAGCCAGATTTGGACCTATTCCGGTACCTCTTTACCGTGAACAAGGTCGGCTCTCACTCGCCCGGTTTTATCCAAGTCGCCGCCCGTCCGGGGCGACAACTTTTCGAGGGGTTGTCCGACTCGATAAAAGAGTGGAAGCCTCTTTATTTCTTCGTCCGACCTCGCTCCTCTTCCTTCACCTTTCCGACCCTTTGGCCGGCGACTCTCTTCAAGCCCTGCTCTCGGCGTGCCGTCTTTACGGAGGATGCTGTCATGGGCGGCGACTTCTTGAAGGGCTTCGGGCCATACTCCGTTAAGTACTGGTCTCGAGTCCGGGCCATGGCCAAGCATGGCCTTCTGCCGGAGGGCGCCGCCACCATAGGTAGCGTCTCTTTCCTCTTCCTTCTCGTCTTGCTTTTTGTCTTCTACGGGAACACTCACAAGTGAGTGTATTTCTTTTACAGGTCCGTACGACTCCGATTCCTCCAGCTCCGGCGAAGCAATCGAACCGACTCCTGAGATGGCAAATAGAGCGGAAAAGATGAGGCGTCGCCTGACGCAACGCTCCACGGGTACGGCCGCTGCGTCCTCTTCTCAGCCATCGCCGGCGGTCCGGCCGACTCCTCTATCTTCCCACAACGTGGTCGACCTCACACCTTCGCCCGTGGTATCGCCCAGTCGGCAGCCGCCTCCTCCCTCTACCGAGAGTCCGAGTTCTAAGCGGCCTGCTGAGCCTACGGAGGGGCCGGCTCCAAAGAGGATCAGGCTGTGCCATGAGGTGGACGAGGACGCCCAGATCTGGATGGGCAACACCTCAGTTCGCAAGTGGTGCAAGGATGTCCTTTTGCCAAAGGATGTGGAGTCGACCCGTGCTCTTGGCGACGGGTTCATTATCGAGGCTTTGCTCCGGCAGTCGTATCGCGTAAGTGTTACTCATTCGGCCTTTCCCTCTGTTTATTTTCTGTTCGACTGACGGCTGGGTGTGCAGGATCTCGCCCTCCAGATGGAACTGGGCAATCGGTTCCAGGGCTTTAGGAACGATATGCGGGCCATGACCGCCAAGCAGCGCCAGACAGAGGAAGCTCTTCTGGAAGAGCAGGCGAAGCAACTCAAGATGGTGGAGGTGCACAACGCCGAGCTGCTGAGGGTTACCCGTCAATGGGAGGAGGAGAAGGGCAAAGTGGCCATGATCGCCGCGACTTCCGTCGCAGATTATAAGAAGTCGGCGGCCTTCGAGGCGGATGTGCAGGCGGCGGTGGCAGCTCGAAGGAGAGAGGTGGCCAAGGAGTGGCTGGCGACCCCGGAGGGCGATGATTTCCTCCTCGACCTGGGCGAG